GGTCCCAAGAGGGAGTGGTGGAGCAGGATGAGTGGCGGTGGAGAGCGGATGCTCACAGAGGCTTTGTCTGTAGTGAAAGGTTTGGGGGATGGCAGCAGAAGCGGGTATTGAGGCAGGATGGGGATGAGGTCTTTAGAGGGACCAGAGGATCCAAAGCGCGGTGCTAGAGACCCCAGCCTTCTTCAAAGACACTGCCTGTCTTTAGAGGGGCTGAACATAGCCGGAAAGGCAGTACCTGGCCTCATAAAGGCCACGTCCAGTGGTCCAGCCTCCTGGAGGAGATGGCCGGCATGGCGGTGGTGGGGGGTAACCAACTCTTCCCAATTTGCCATAAGTTTCCCTTTTAGCACCCAAAGCCTTCCATCGTGGGCAGCCTCTCCGGCCAGAGCTGACCTGGACTCTAGGAAGCCGTAATCCTAAGGGATGTGTCCCGTGCCTCTTACAGGGCCAGCCCATGGGTTTGGGGTTGAAATAACCCGGTGTGTGGGCGGAGGTGGGGGGACCACCCGCCCTCACCTGACCCGGAATCCCTCCTCAGGTGTGATGGTCGGCTCCCACGCGGACATGGCGCCGGCCTCTACCGCAGAGGGGGCCGGGGAAAAGCCGGGCCCCGCGGCTCCTGCCCCCACGGCCCAGTATGAGTGTGGGGAGTGCGGAAAGTCCTTCCGCTGGTCGTCCCGGCTCCTGCACCACCAGCGCACGCACACGGGCGAGCGTCCCTACAAGTGCCCTGACTGCCCCAAGGCCTTCAAGGGCTCCTCGGCCCTGCTTTACCACCAGCGGGGCCACACGGGCGAGCGGCCCTACCAGTGCCCCGACTGCCCCAAGGCCTTCAAGCGCTCGTCGCTGTTGCAGATCCACCGCAGTGTGCACACTGGCCTGCGGGCCTTCACCTGCGGCCAGTGCGGCCTGGCCTTCAAGTGGTCGTCCCACTACCAGTACCACCTGCGCCAGCACACGGGCGAGCGGCCCTACCCCTGCCCGGACTGCCCCAAGGCCTTCAAGAACTCGTCCAGCCTGCGGCGCCACCGGCACGTGCACACGGGTGAGCGGCCCTACACCTGCGGCGTGTGCGGCAAGAGCTTCACGCAGAGCACCAACCTGCGGCAGCACCAGCGCGTGCACACGGGCGAGCGGCCCTTCCGCTGCCCGCTCTGCCCCAAGACCTTCACACACTCGTCCAACCTGCTGCTGCACCAGCGCACCCACGGCAGCGCCGCCGCCCCCGCCCCTCCGCCGCGGGAGCCCGGCGGCAAGGTCTTGGTCTCGGAGGCCTACCTACAGCGGCCCCTCCAACCCCCCAGCCCGCCGGCGCCCCCGCCGCCCGCGCCCCCGCCCGTGGTGCCCGAGCTCTTTCTGGCCGCGGCCGAGACCACGGTGGAGCTGGTGTACCGCTGCGACGGCTGCGAGCTAGGCTTCGGCAGCGAGGAGCTGCTCTTGGAGCACCAGCCCTGTCCCGGGCCGGAGGCGCTGCCCCCGCCCACGGACGCGCCCTCGGAGCCGCGGAAGGCCGACCCTCCCCCGCCGCCCTCACTGTGCCCGCCGTCCCCCCTGCCGCAGCCCCCTCCCGCCGCCTCTGCCCCTGGCTTCGCCTGCCTCCCCTGCGGGAAGTCCTTCCGGACGGTGGCCGGCCTCTCCCGCCACCAGCACAGCCACGGGGCGGCCGGCGGGCAGGCGTTCCGCTGCGGCAGCTGTGACGGCGCCTTCCCGCAGCTGGCCAGCCTCCTGGCGCACCAGCAGTGCCACGTGGAGGAGGCAGCGGCCGGGCGCCCGCCCCCCCAGGCTGAGGCTGCCGAAGTCACCTGTCCCCAGGAGCCGCTCGCCCCCGTCCCCGCCCCGCCCGCTCCCGCGCCCGCCCCGGCTTCCGCGGAGCGACCCTACAAATGCGGCGAGTGCGGCAAGGCCTTCAAGGGCTCGTCGGGGCTGCGCTACCACCTGCGGGACCACACGGGCGAACGGCCCTACCAGTGCGGTGAGTGTGGCAAGGCCTTCAAGCGCTCGTCGCTGCTGGCCATCCACCAGCGCGTGCACACCGGCCTACGGGCCTTCACCTGCGGCCAGTGCGGCCTTACCTTCAAGTGGTCGTCGCACTACCAGTACCACCTGCGGCTGCACTCAGGCGAGCGGCCCTACGCTTGCGGGGAGTGCGGCAAAGCCTTCCGCAACACGTCGTGCTTGCGGCGCCACCGGCACGTGCACACGGGCGAGCGGCCCCACTCCTGCGGCGTGTGCGGCAAGAGTTTCGCCCAGACCTCCAACCTGCGGCAGCACCAGCGCGTGCACACGGGCGAGCGGCCCTTCCGCTGCCCGCTCTGCCCCAAGACCTTCACACACTCGTCCAACCTGCTGCTGCACCAGCGCACGCACTCGGCCGAGCGCCCCTTTGCCTGCCCCATCTGCGGCCGCAGCTTTGTCATGGCCGCCTACCTGCAGCGGCACCTGAGGACGCATGCCCCGGCCAACGCCGCTTCTGGCCCCGCAGCCCCCGGCGCCGGCCCCCAGCCCCCTGCCCCACTGGCTGCCGCCCCCGCCCCGTCCGCCACCCAAGATGTCCACGTTCTACCCCACCTCCAGGCCACGCTCTCCCTAGAGGTGGCAGGAGTCACGGCCCAGGCCCCGCCCCCTGGCCCAGCAGCCCCCAACTCCCAGACGTTTCTCCTGGTGCAGACTGCTCAGGGTCTCCAGCTGATCCCCAGCAGCGTCCAGCCCCCCACACCCCCGCCTCCCCCCGCCCCCCCCAAGCTCATCTTGCTGCCCTCCTCCAGTACTGGTGGTGGGGGCAGCGGTGCAAGGCAGGGCCCGCGGGCAGTGGGGAAAGCTGGGCAGGGGGCTGGAGTAGTCTGGCTGCCAGGCCCTGGGGGGCTAGGGGTGCAGGGAGGGAGCAACACCGGGGCCAGCGCGGGAGCGCAGAGCCTCATAGTTCTGCAGAATGTGGGGGCTGGGGAGGCAGGGCCACAGGAAGTGAGCGGGGTCCAGCTCCAACCCCTTCGGCCAGCCCCGGAACTGACCACGGTCCAGCTCCAGCCGGCCCCGGAGGTGACCACGGTCCAGCTCCAGCCCGCCCAGGAGGTGACCACGGTACAGCTCCAGCCTGTAACGGGTCAGCTGTCCAATTCCAGTGGGGGAGCCGTCACCACTGAGGCGCCTAATCTGCTGGTGGTTCAGAGTGGGGCAGCGGAGGAGTTGCTGGCGGACCCCGGCCCGGGGGAGCCCGGTGACGGTGAGGCCAGCACTGGTGTGGTCCAGGATGTGCTCTTTGAGACGCTGCAGACGGAGGAGGGGCTGCAGAGTGTCCTGGTGCTGAGCGGGGCTGATGGGGAGCAGACCCAGCTGTGTGTGCAGGAGGTAGAGACCTTACCCTCGGGGCTGGCTGAGCCGCCAACCCCTGGCCCAACGGGACAGAAACTGCTCATTATCCGCAGTGCCCCGGCCACCGAGCTGCTGGAGAATGGCAGCGTTGGGGGAGGCGCCGCTGCGCTGCAGCTGCTGGCCCCACCACCACCTGGCCCAGGCTCTGCTCCCGCGGGCGTCCCTGCGGCTCCTGCCTCGCAGATGGTACAAGTGGTCCCTGCAGGAGCTGCACCTGGGGGCATGACCCCACAGGGCCTACCCTCCATCCAGTTTGTCCAGACTCTGCCCGCAGTCCAGCTGGTGCACACGTTTTGAGTAGAACCACTGGTACCCCTTCCCGCCCCACACAGAGACCCCGACTCACTGTCAGCCTGGGCTGGGCTGAGCTGGGGGGAGGGGAACTGCAGGCTGGGCTTGCTAATAAAGACCAGAATCTCCGCTCCTGTGTTTTTGTTTTATTTGTGGTTTGGGAGATCACTGTCATGGCCATAGCCACCACTTGGGAACTTGGAGTCTCATCTCTTGCTTCCTGGTTCGCAGGTGACTTGCTTTGCGTCTTGGGGCCAGCCACTTCTCCTATGTGGGCTCTGTTTATCCTTTTTAAAAAAGGGATGCAACGGTCACTATATGGGGGAGGCGCTGGAATCTAGAATCCTGGTTCTGCCACTTGTTCTCTGTAAGTCACCCCACCGCTCCTCTCACGGAAAAATGGGTGGGTGGGAATGCCCATTCCGAATGTCACTGAGAGCCGGGGTGGGTTGGTTTGGGGTGGGGCGGTTTGGGAGCCCGTGGGCTCAAGATGCTGACGCGGCCCCTCCCGCGAAGGCCCTGGAACCTAAGAGAACCACTGAGTTCGCCGCCCTGCCCCCACCCCCTGCGCTCAGGTTGCTTAGGAACCAGGGGACGTCGGGAAGCAAGCGTGCGTTCAGCGCGCGACCGTTAAGTACCGCTCCCCGCCCCCCCACGCCGGGTCCCCCGCTCCCATCCCCAGCCCCTTCCCCCGCCAGCGTCCTACAGGCCCCCTTTCTCTGTTGCTCCTCCCCTTGCAGGGTTGCCGCTCCCCGCCTTAGTCCATTCCCAGCCCACGCCCAGACTCTCCCCCCACCCGCTGCCAGAAGGTTGGCAACAGTTGCTAAGGCCGAGAGCAGGCACCGCCCCGCCCCCAGTGCGCTAGTCTGACGTCACTTCCGCCGACGACCCCCTTCTCAACCCTGCTCCCCCCGCACCTTGTCAAAAGCGAAGCGACCCACAGAGGTGCTTGCAAGTCCTTGTTCCTGCGACAGACGCCGTTCGGGGGCGGTTGGGGCAGAGAGGCTCTGGGCACTGGGGGGTGGGGAGCGGGGTCCATTCCCTGCCTGTGGGGGTAGTTTCGCTCACCCCCAGGGCCGCCCCGGAACCTGGAAGGGAGCCCGGTGTTGGCAGGTGTTGGCGTGCACCGGGCATTTAGGCGTAGATCGCTGGACACCACTGGGGGCCGGGGGGGCACCCCGAGAGACTTTAGAAAGGTCGATGGGTTGACGGGGAAGCCTGTCCTGTCTCGGACCTCTCTTGGGACCTGACCTGGGACATACTGTTGCGTGATCTGCAGCTGTGGGGCGCTTTGGGGACGAGAGGTGCCCTCCTGACGCTGACCGGCTTGTTTTCGCCAGGTGCACGCCTGCTCCCTTGGGGGCGCGGGAGCCTGGGGGCTGCCATGGCCCCCAGCCACCTGTCGGTGCGGGAGATGAGGGAAGATGAGAAACCCTTAGTGCTGGAGATGCTGAAGGTGAGAGCGGGCAGGGGCGCCAGTGAGCCTGGGAGGGTGGGGTGGAGGGTACCAGTGAGGGGGGGCCGGGACACCAGTGAACCTGCGAGGGGACGGGGACACCTGTGAGCCTGGGAGGGGGCGGGGACAGAATGAGGGGAAACCAATGAGCCTGGTGGGGCGGGGACACCAGTGAGTCTGGGGGAGGGTACCAGTGGGGGGGGCCTGGACACCAGTGAGCCTGGGAGGGGGCGGGGACAGAATGAGGGGGCACCAATGAACATGGGGGTGGGGCGGGGACACACCACGGAGCCTGGGAGGGGGCAGGGGCGGCATTTTGAGTGGCTTCAGTCACCTTCCTGAGCCAGCCGTGACCCCCCGGCAAGCAGTCTTTTGCTGCTCCTAAGAGGGCCCTTGGGCCCTCCTCTCTCTAGTTCTTTCTCCCTACCCTGGGGATCAAAAAGGGTTTTCACCGCTGTAGGGCTGACACACCAACTCCTTCCCTATCCTCCGCACTTCCAGTCTTCCCTACGCCCCAGCCTCCTGCTTTTCAAAGTAGAGCCCTTGGGCCTCAGCCTGGCACTCGAGGACGCCCCAGGCGCCCCTCCAGCTTTCTCTCTTGCTTGGGTCAGCTCCTCCATCCAGCCTCCCCTGATGCCTGCCTCTCCACTGAAGTGGGAGCCCTCACAGTTCCTAATTCACCAGCTCACTCATTCAGAGCCCAGTGTGCCAGCCGTGTGGTCCTGGACCCTCCGCCACAGGCCTCAGCTCACTGCCTTCCTTTCTCCTCCGGCAACCCCTGCCCCGGATCCCTCCCGGGCAGGGCCTGCCTCCTCCCCGCCCCGTTCCTGCTGCCCACGGGAGCCCCCCCACTCTGACTGCTCCTCCTGCCTGCAGGCTGGCGTGAAGGACACAGAGAACCGCGTGGCCCTCCACGCCCTGACGCGGCCACCGGCCCTGCTCCTCCTGGCGGCAGCCAGCAGCGGCCTGCGCTTCGTCCTGGCCTCTTTCGCCCTGGCCCTCCTCCTGCCCGTGTTCCTGGCCGTGGCGGCCATGAAGCTGGGCCTGCGGGCCCGGTGGGGCTCGCTGCCCCCGCCGGGCGGTCTGGGGGGGCCCTGGGTGGCAGTGCGGGGCTCAGGGGATGTGTGCGGGGTCCTGGCCCTGGCCCCAGGCTCCAGCGCTGGAGACGGGGCCCGGGTCACCCGCCTCTCTGTGTCTCGCTGGCACCGCCGCCGAGGCGTGGGCAGGCGGCTGCTGGCCTTTGCCGAATCCCGGGCTCGAGCCTGGGCGGGCGGCATGGGGGAGCCCCGGGCCCGGCTAGTGGTCCCGGTGGCCGTGGCAGCGTGGGGCGTGGCCGGGATGCTTGAGGGCTGTGGCTACCAGGCCGAGGGGAGCTGGGGTTGCATGGGCTACACGCTGGTGAGGGAGTTCAGCAAGGAACTATGACGCCAGACCCTGGAGGAAGGAAAACCAGCGCTTAGTGAGCACCTCCTGTGTGCAGACACTTTCACACCGTCCTTCCATGAATCCCCAGCCCACCCAGGGCCCAGAAACTGAGGCCTGCAGAGGGCAAGAGACCCCACCACAGCCTGACGTCTGTCTGAACTTCTCAGAGAGGTCGGCCCATCTAACCCCTGCCTCAGACTCTGTCTGCACTGAGAAGTCTCCCCATCTGCCTGTCTGTCAAGCCTGTGCCGTTTGTGCTATGAGCCTGGGAGAGACGTGGGGCAGGAGGAGAGGAGGCCGAGCAAGCCTGCCCCCCACCCCGACCAGGGTTAGGACTTAAGCAGGGGCACCCCAAACCGGGACAAGGCCCCCAGGGAATGGGGTGGGGCTTGATGCTGTGCTTGGAGTGGGTGAGGCTGCAGAGGCAGAGAGAGGGTGAGGGGCGCCTCTACAGGGGAGGGTCGTCTGCCTCGAGAGCCCCAGGGGAGGGAGGGGGGTGGTGGGCACAGTGCTGCCCTCCCGGCCAGCCCCTGCCCGGGAAGGTGCGAGCCCAGAGGGGCAGGCAGACCCATCTGGTTTTTAACACCCGTTTGTTAATAAAGCCTGCAACTGCTGTGCGCCTGTCTCCCTCTCTCTGATGCCTTTTCCAGTCTGTCTCCGAGGCCCCCCTTCCGTCTGGCTCCTCCTTCCCCGAGGCTGACATTAATTGTTGGCAGCGGGGGTGCTGGACTGGGGGCAGGGGAGGCAATGAGCTCAAGGCAGCCCTGCTCCCTGCCAGCCCTCTGACTCAGGCTCCCCATTACCGAAGTTTTTCCGCCTCACAGCTGCTTAGTGCAGGGAGGGAGAGAGAGAGAGAGAGAGAGAGAGTGTGTGTGTGTGTGTGTGTGTGTGTGTGTGTAGTCGCCCTCCCTCACCCAAGCCTTGACCCTTGGTCCCCCAACCCCTGACCCCAGTTTCCTCGGGAGACACGCAAGTTCAACCACAGCTCCCTCAGGCAGGAGGTTGGGGACTTTTGCGTGCAGATCCACCGGGGGGGATGGAGAGAGGAGTTTCTCTGTCTCTTTTCCCAATCCAGGAAGTTCTTCCTGGTGTCTGGCTGCAAGCCCTCTTGCTGCACCGGGAGCCCCAGTTGTGCCAGGTCCCCAACCCCGGCATCTGATGTGAATCCATCCTTGATGCTCTCTGGTCCCAGCACGCTTCCCTGGCTGGACAAGAGAGGAGGCAGATGGGTGGGCACCCCACCCGTGCACCCCTGTTCCCCAGCGTACGCCCTTGCCTGGATGCTTCCCTGCAGCCTGCTGCCCCCAGGCCGGCTCCCCAGTGGGTGTTTGCAGTTGGACACCCTCCCTGCTGCCTGCCACCGCCCTCCTCCCCAGGCCTCAGCCGCCGGCCAGCCCCCTCCCCGCCCCCCCTCCCGTCCCCTGCTGCCTCCTCGGCAGCCTCTCCTCCTCCTGGCAGAGCGTCCAGCCCCTGCCTGCTCCTCCCCAGGTCCCGGGCGCCTCTGGCAGGAGCCTCCCTCTCTCCCTCCCTCCCCCCCTCCCGTGGCCACTAGCTCCTCCCCTCTCCTGCTCCTCTCCCCATTCACCCCATCCCTAACCCGACTCTGCAGACATGAGGGTCTTGGCCTGCCTCCTCGGTGAGTGACCCTTCTCCTCGGGGACTCGGGCCTGGGCCCCACCCTCTGACCCCTGAGCTCACCCACTGGAGAGCCTCAGACTTCCGGGGCCTCATCCCTATTGCTTGGGGGATACAGGACATCTGGCCCTCCCTTGCCTGATCCCCCAGGGACCCAGCCTCTGGCACCCCCGTCCTACCCTCTTAGGAGCCCCAGAGACCTACCTCCTACCCCCCCACCACCGCCCCACCAGCCCTGATCCTGTAGGGGGGTCACCCATCATTTGACCTTTAGTCAGGCCCCTGGGGGAGTGCAAAGGGCCTGGGCGCCTGCCCTGAGGCATCTGGGGCCCCGCCCACCTCAAGGACCTGAACCTCGCCAGGCCCTCCACCCAGAGTCCTGCTTCCCAGCGGCGGGGTTTCTGGTTCAGAGGCATGAGGCCTCACTCTGTCCACCCCTCCAATCTCCCTTCCAGTGGCTCTGATGGGGATCCAGGCTGTTGGTAAGTGGCCCCAAACACGTCTTCCATCTGGCCTCACTCAGCTGCAGGCCCACCCCGTGCCCAGCCTCACCCTCCAATGGGACCCTGTTCGCCCCCATCCGCCTGTGACCTCGGGCACCACTTCCCCCAGGACCACCTGGGCGACAGCCTCCTGCCTCCTACGGGGCACCACTGCTCCCCTGGGTACCCAGGAGTTGGGCTCCCCGTTAGCGGCCAGGACACTGGCCTTCCGGTGATGCCCTGCAAGACAGCCCCCAGCCCGTACCCTCCCCCTGGCCCCAGGGTCTCCAGGACATCACAGCCTTTCCTCTGTCCTCCCCAGAGTGGCTGCGTCTGGCCGATGGCCCCCACGGGTGTGCAGGCCGCCTGGAGGTGTGGCACGGCGGGCGCTGGGGCACCGTGTGCGACGATGGCTGGGACCTGAGGGATGCTGCTGTGGCCTGCCGCGAGCTGGGCTGTGGGGGCGCGCTGGCTGCCCCTGGAGGCGCCTTCTTCGGGGAGGGCGCGGGGCCCGTGTGGCTGAGCGAGCTGGCCTGCCGGGGCGGTGAGCAGCAGCTGGGCCTCTGCCCCCACCGCGGCTGGAAGGCCCACATCTGCTCCCACGAGGAGGACGCAGGCGTCGTCTGTGCAGGTAAGGGGCCCTCGACCCCCTCCAAGGGACATTGCTTCAGAGACGACCCAGGGACACAAGTCCTCAGTCCAGTAACTCTGAGAATCCAGAAGTCCGACACCCCACCCCTGACACCCCCTGCAAAGCCAGGACTTACCACTACCTTGGAGGGTTCCTGCCTCACTCAGGGCCTGCCCTCTTTATAGCATCTGGGGATCGCATGGCGGGGATATTGAGTAATATCTTCCAAACTGAGAGGGAACTTTGAGACCAATAAACAAAGCAGTAAAGAACAACTATGAAGTTTACTGTGGGGAACTCATACAGGCAGGATGGATCTGGTGGGCAGTGATCCATTTATTTGCAGCTGTGCTGCGCACCACCGCAAAGGATGCAGGAAGATTTAAAGGGGCCAACGCTAGAGACAGAATCTGAGTACCAAGGGAGAAGCATGTTTTCCTTCCCCCAGGGGGTCTTATGACCATCATTCCTCAGGGACCATTAATCCTCTATGTCAACAAAAGGCATCCTTCCTGTTTTCGTATCAGACGAAGGCAAGGGTAAAAGTTGATAGGGAACCTCTCTGGCTTGGGCGTGTTCCTCGTGAGTGGGACAAAGCTCAGCCATGCAAAGAGGGGAGGGGGTGGGGCCGCAGGCCTGAGATGGGGCTGACAAAACAGAGCCAGTGCGGTCCAGCCACACGCTGCTCTCCCGAAGGTCAGCGTGTGTTGGACTCCAGGGATTGGGACGACTCACCTTCAGTCCTGGATGGGGACCCCTGGCCGGGGCTGTCTGGGGAGCTGAGCCCCGGCTCTGAGGAGGCCCCGGTGATGCCTGGTGAGCCCCCCCCCACATGTGCCCTGTCTCCAGCTTCGGCTGTGAGGGAGAAGGGACAGAGGCCCGTCTCCTCCACAATCCCGAGGGCCCCCGCCAAGGCCCCCTTCGGACCCCTGGGAACTCTCGGGACTGACCTGCGGCCCCAGGAGGTGCAGCTGCCGATCTCCCTCCCTGCTGTCTCCTCACGCAGCCCCCCGCCCAGCCGGGACCCCCCAGAGCGGCTCCCGGAAGAAGAGCCCCCGGCCGCCCAAGCCCGCCAAGTCCACTAGGGCCCCTTTGCTGACTGCCGGAGCCCCCCGCCAGGGTAAGTCCGCGCAGGCCTCCCCTCTGCAACAAATCTGGATGGGGTGAGGCGCTAGGCCCCGCTGGACCAAACTGGGACCCCCCCCAGGTATGCGGGGGCACTGCATCCCCCGGGGATTCACAGTCAGGCCCAGGCTCCCCACCCGGTCAGGAGACCCGGGTGTCCACTCCCGGGACCCAGGCCCTTGGCCTGCTCAGATTCTGGCTCTCCCCTTAACAGCCGGCTGGCAGGCCCATCTCAGGCCACTGACCACCCCCCACCCCCACCCCCCCGCGGCTTGAATCCGCGTATCCCCAGCTGCCTCGCACGAGGCCCCTGACTGCCCCTCTCTCCGCCCGCCCGCCAGAGCGTCTGCGCCTGGTCTCCGGCCCCCACGGGTGCGCCGGCCGCCTGGAGGTGTGGCACGGCGGGCGCTGGGGCACGGTGTGCGACGACGGCTGGGACCTGCGGGACGCCGCCGTGGCCTGCCGCGAGCTGGGCTGCGGGGGTGCGCTGGCCGCCCCCGGCGGGGCCCGGTTCGGCCCGGGCGCAGGGCCCGTGTGGATGGACGACGTGGGGTGCGGAGGCGGGGAGCAGGCCCTGCGGGACTGTCCCCGAAGCCCCTGGGGCCGGAGCAACTGTGACCACAGCGAGGACGCAGGACTGGTCTGCACCGGTATGTGCCCGCCTCCCCAGACCCCTCCCCCAGGGCCACGCCCCCTCCCCACTCACCGAGGTCTCAACTTTAAGGAGCTCTCTAATCCCCTTCCCTCCCCTCCCTCCCTCCCCTCCCTCCCCTCCCTCCTTCCTCCCTCCCTCCCTCCCTCCCCCCTCCCTCCCCCCTCCCTCCCTTCCTTACTCCCTTCCTCCTTTCCTTCTCTCTCTCCCTCCTTCCTTCTTTTCACACTCATTAAGCCCCATCCACACCGGGCACAGACCCAGTTCTCACTCTCCTGACTTTTAGGAGGCAGGGGTGGCCCACAGGTGTGGGGTAGGAAAGTTCAAGGGCTGCACCCACTAGAGGAGCCTGCCCACCTACCCGCACAGGGGGCAGGAAATGTTTCAGTCGGTGGATGGGAAAGGGGAGAGGGAGCTACAGAGGAAGCTGGGAGCCAGCTCTGGGCCTCACCCCCACCTGCCTGGCCTCCTGGGTGGATGTCCTCGCCCCACCCTTCACGGATGCAAGACAGAAGCTCAGAGATGTAAAGCAGATGGCCCAGAACTTGACTGCCGTGTCTGTCCCACTACACAGATGGATCTGGGTATCTAGCCTGTAGGGTGTGGTGGGGATGGAGACCAAGGGGACACAGGTCGGGGCACAGATTGGTGGACCAGAGGCAGTGATGGTGGTGCCTCCGTGGGAAGCACATGGGGGCAGAAATGGGGCCTCTGAAGCCCAGTTCCCAGGAGGTGAGTTGAGTCTCCAGCGGGAGAAGAAGCTGTTGGGGAGAAGAAGTGAACCCCATTGAGGGGCCCGGGGGCTTGGTATCTTACCAACATCTCTGCTGCTCAGGGCAGCCCCATGAGGGAGCGTGTCACTCACAGCTGGGTGATGCAGGCAGGAGTATCTCACCCTCTCTGGCCTGTCCTTTTCTCTAGACACTGACTGCAGGCTAGAGAGAGGGACTCCACACTCCCCAGAGGTGACCCAACTCTCACCCCACAAAGACCCAACAGAAATGTACCCCCAAACCAACAAGAGGTTAACATCTAGACTAGTGGTTCTCAACCGCACTCCCCAGATGATATGGAGACATTTCTGGTTGTCATGACTGTGTGGGGCACTGGGGGTGGAGCCCAGGGATGCTGCTGGACATCCTACTGTGCACAGGATGGCCCCTCACAGCAGAGAATGACCTGACCGCTGTGTCAGGGATGCTAAGGCTGAGAAGCCCTGCTTTACAGGCTGGAGAAGGCAGCTGGGGAGTGGGGACCTGCCTGGGGAGGTGGGTGGAGGGCATCAGGGCCAGCGTCCTCAGGGCTCATCCCTGGGGAGGCAGGGACATGGGGGGCAGTGGATAGACCAGAGTTGAACTCTTGGAGAGCGACTTCCCAGCTCAGAGTCTTTCCCTCACTTGCAAACTGAAGATGGAATGGCTGCTTTCCAGCCCCATCTTGGGCGTGAAGCGGGACACCACACATAGCCTGTACTTGCTCATCCATCCTAGTCACTCGAGCAGGTGGCCTGTACCTGCTCATCCATCCTAGTCACTCGAGCATGTGGCCTGTACCTGCCCACCCATCCTAGTCACCTGAGCATGAGGCTTATATCCACTCATCCATCCTAGTCACCTGAGCACGTGGCCTGTACCTGTACATCCATCCTAGTCACCTGCATGCATAGCTCAGTACCTGCTCGTCCATCACAGTTTCCTGTGTGCGTGGCCTAAAGCTGCTCATCCGTCACAGTTTCCCGTCTGTCTGTTCTCCCTCTCCCCACGTCCAGGCCCGGCCCCCAGGCTGCGTCTGGCAGACGGCCCCCACGGGTGCGCGGGCCGCCTGGAGGTGTGGCACAGCGGGCGCTGGGGGTCCGTGTGTGACGATGCCTGGGACCTACGGGACGCCGCTGTGGCCTGCCACGAGCTGGGCTGCGGGGGCGCGCTGGCTGCCCCTGGAGGCGCCTTCTTCGGGGAGGGGGCTGGACCCATCCTCCTGGACGATCTTCGCTGTCGGGGAAACGAGACGGCCTTGCGCTTCTGCCCTGCGCGGCCCTGGGGCCAGCATGACTGTCATCACCGAGAGGACGCTGGGGCCGTGTGTGACGGTGAGGGGGCCCTGGGGGAGAGGCCAGAGCGGGGGGCCTCGAGTGGAGGGGTGAGAGCTGGGGTGTCTCGTGTGTTTTCCGGAGGTGTACCCCAGGGCCCCTCACTCCCTCCGTCCAGCAGCCCACCTGCCGCATGTCTTGCTCATCGTGAAACCTCAGTCTCCATCTGGGGTCCTGGGGTGGCAGGTGTGGGGAACTGCCTGTAGCACAACAGTGGGTGGTGGTCACCTCTTCCCTCTCACGCCCCAGGTATGCCTCTGGGATATGTCCCTCCCATGGCCCCCGCGGTGGGCAGCAACAGCTCCAGGCCCAGGGAAACTGCATCCAGGCCCCCGCCCCCCACGGTGAGCCAGGCTGTGCGGATAGCAGGCATTTCACCTCCGCCCGCTTCCCCTGCGGCCCCTCAGGAGCCTGGGCCGGAAGCTGGTGAGTCCCTCCTGCTCCCCGCACCCCAAATGTGGGGCTTAGCTGCTGCTGCTTTTTTTTTAAGATTCTTTTCCCATGTAGGCCGTTGCAGAGTACTGAGTAGAGCTCCCCGTGCTATACAGTAGGGCCTTATTACCTCTTTTATATACAGTAGCGTGTATATGTCCATCCCAAGCTCCCAATTTATTCCTCCTTCCCCTTATCCCCTGGTAGCCATGTTTGTTTTCTATATCCGTGACTCTGCTTCTGTTTTGTACATAAGTTCATTTATACCCCCTTTCTTAGATTCCACATATAAGTGATATCATCTGATATCTGTCTTTCTGTGTCTGACTTATTTCACTCAGTATGACAATCTCTAGGTCCATCCGTGTTGCTGCAAACAGCATTATTTTGTTCTTTTTTGTCGCCGAGTAGGGGTTTAGCTTCTGTTTCCTGCCCCTCCGCCACTCCCCACAGCCCCCAAGTGCCTCCTTCACTGCTTCAGAGGTCTCGGGGAGAGGGAAGGGTGGAGGGGAGGAGACGGAGCCCACACTCAGAAGGCCCCTGCTTAGTCTAATGCTCTGCTCTGGCTGTCTTGAAACTCACAGGGCCGCCTCCTTCTCGCAAGTATCGAAAGAACTAGTCAGTGATGTTGTTTTAAAATACAGGCTTTAGGGACTTCCCTGGTGGTCCAGTGGTTAAGACTCTGCGCTTCCACTTCAGGGGGCGCAGGTTGATCCCTGGCTGGGGAACTATGGTCTCACATGCTGTGTGGTGCGGCCAACAGGTGAGACCACTGTCACTGAAGAGATAGTTGGTTTCTCACAATTCCCAAGAGGAGGGGGCACAGCCCGCACACGACGCAGGGCCACACGGGAAGCACCAGGGTCCAGCAGGAGGCAGAGGGAGCGAGGGGCGACGGTGGGCAAAGCCTGGAGTGTGGCTTCATGGGGAGGAATGGACAAGGCAGGGTGAGATGACTCCGGATGGGCTGGTTTGCATCATTTCAGCGGGCTCTGGAGCGTAGGCGCTGCTCCTGGTTGTCGGGTACATGCCCTGGGGTGATGGGGCAGGTGGATGGTGGCCGGGGAGTGTGAGCCTGACACGAGGTGGTGGGTGAGGGCTCTTGGGTGGGTTGGTTTCATATGAAGGGCACACTCCAGTGGTTTCCTGTCTCTGGGAATCAGCAATCCCTCCAGTGTCAGCAAGGCCCCGAGATGTCAAAGCATCAGGTACCGCAAATAAAAAGCCATGATTAATACAGCCATCTCCTCAAGGTTGCCAAAGGCTGAAAAAGTGGGAACTTGATCACTATTAGCTGAGGCCTGCTTCCCCTTTTTCTGAATAATAATAATAATAATAATGATAACAGCTGCCATAGACTCAGCTGTCACTGGCTCACATGACCAGTGCTGTTCCAAGCCCCTTCATCAGGTAAAACTACCAGCCACTGGCAGGGTAGGTACCGTCTGGTTTCCACGTTACAGATGAGGCCACGCAGCTAAAAAGTCTGAAAGCCAGGACTCAAATGAAGGCAACTTGTTCCACAGCCCACTTTCTTTATTTTTTAAAAATTATGGTAAAATATACACAACGTAAAATTGACCATTTCAACAACTTTTTGTTTTTCTGGCTGTGCCACACGGCATGCGGATCTTACTTCCCCGACCGGGGATCAAATCTGCGCCCCCTGCCATGGAAGCGCGGAGTCCTAACTATTGGACTGCCAGGGAAGTCCCATTTTAACCATTTTAAAGCATATAGTTTAGTCGTAAAAAATACACTTATGTTGTGCGGCCACCACCATCTCCAGAACTTTTTCATCATCCCGAACAGATACCCCAGACCCACTAAACACTCACTACCCTCCCCTCCGTCTCCCCAGCCCCTGGCCCACACCATCTGATTTTCTGTCTCTGTGAATTTGCCAACCAGGCACTGTGTGTAAATGGAATCGTATAGTATTGGACCTTTTGTGTCTGGCTTATTTCACAGAGCATAATGTTCTCCAAGTTCATCCATATTGTGGAGTGTGTCAGAATTTCTTTCTTTGTAACGGCTGAATAGTATTCCATCAATTGGATGGACAACATTTTGCTTATCCATTCCATTCGTCCATTGATGGACACTCGGGTTGTTTCCATATTATTGCTATTGTGAATAATGCTGCTGTGAATGTTTGCATACAGGTATCTGACTGAATGCCCTTTTTCACCTTATCTTGGGTATATATATCCCTAGGAGTGGAATTTCTGGATCATATGGCAATTCTGAGTTGAGCTTTCCAAGGAACCACCCTTTATCCCTGACTTTTTTTTTTTTCTTTTTTTTGGCGTGCCGCGAGGCTGGTGGGATCTTAGTTCCCCAACCAGGGATTGAACCCGGGCCTCGGCAGTGAAAGCACGGAGTCCTAACCACTGGACCGCCAGGGAATTCCCTATCCCTGACTCTTTATTCCTGTGCCTGATGCAGGCGATGGCACAGCACAGGCCTGGATAAACACTTGCTGCTGGGAAGGAAGGGTGGATGAATGGAAGGAAGATGGAGCGGAGGTGGAGGAAGGTCTGACTCGAATTCTTTGGGTCTCTCCCACCCCAGGGTCCCCCCAGCTGCGCCTGGTGGCCGGGCCCAGCAGGTGCTCAGGCCGGCTGGAGGTGTGGCACGGTGGGCGCTGGGGGACCGTGTGTGACGACAGCTGGGACCTGCGGGACTCGGCTGTGGTCTGCCGGGAACTGGGCTGCGGTGGACCTCGGCAGCCAGACCCTGCTGCCGGCCGCTTCGGCTGGGGCGCCGGCCCCATCTGGCTGGACGATGTGAGGTGTGTGGGGACCGAGGCTTCCCTCGCTGACTGCCCTGCCGCTCCCTGGGGGAAGCACAACTGTGCTCACAACGAGGACGTTGGAGTTACCTGCACTGGTAAGGAGGCCCTGGCCATTCGCTGGCTCCGGGAGGGCTTCCTGGAGGAGGGAACGGGAACTAACATTGGCACTAACATCGATTGAGCGCTCACCTCCTAAGCCCCCGCCGTGACCGTATTCACACCTCACGATGCGTCCAAATTGGTGGATGTTATGCCCATTTTACTGATGAAGACGCTGAGGCACAGAGAGGTTACACAGCAGCTAAGCGGCACAGCTGGGATTCTTCCTCCTCTTCTTCCCGCCAAGAATCAAGGAAGTCTCCCACCTAGAGGGAAGCTGAAAAGGAAGAGGAAAGGAAGCAGGCATGGGGCACCGGGAGATGGCAAGAAGCCCGTGTGACGGGAGGGCCACTTGAAGTAGACTCAGGCTTGGCCCGTGTTCATTCATTTGCCGTTATTTATCCAGCGCCAGACACTGAGCTAGGTATTGGGTCCTCAGAATACAACGAACGCAACCCTGGCCTTCGAGAGGCTCACAGTTCACTGTGAGAAAGAGACGCCCCGACAAATCGCTGCAAACCCGTGTGACACATTATCATTTGGGAGGTCCCCAAGACCACCCTCGGGTGCCATAGTTTTCTAGAAGGATTCACAACAATCAGAAAAGCTGTCTCGCGGTCCAGTGGTTAAGACTTCGCCTTCCAATGCAGAGGGTGCAGGTTCAATCCCTGGTTGTGGAGCTAAGATCCCACATGCCCCGCAGGCAAAAAACCAAAACATAAAACAGAAGCAATGTTGTAACAAATTCAGTAAAGAATTTTGGGCTTCCCTGGTGGTGCAGTGGTTGAGAGTCCGCCTGCCGACGCAGGGGACGCGGGTTCATGCCCCGGTCCGGGAAGATCCCACGTGCTGCAGAGCGGCTGGGCCCGTGAGCCATGGCCGCTGAGCCTGCGCGTCCGGAGCCTGTGCTCTGCAACGGGAGAGGCCACAACAGTGAGAGGCCCGCGTACCGCAAAAAGACTTTTAAAATGGTCCATATCAGGACTTCCCTGGTGGCACAGTGGTTAGGAATCTGCCTGCCAATGCAGGGGACACGGGTTCAATCCCTGGTCCGGGAAGATCCCACATGCTGTGGAGCAGCTAAGCCCGCGCTCCACAACTGCTGAGCCCGCGAGCCACAACTACTGAAGCCCGCACGCCTACAGCCCGTGCTGCGCCAGAAGAGAAGCCACCGCAATGAGAAGCCCGCGCACCGCAACGAAGAGTAGCCCCTGCTCGCTGCAACTAGAGAAAGCCCGAGCACAGCAATGAAGACCCAACGCAGCCAAAAATTTAAAAAGTCAGTTGAGGGAAGAGGCATGTGGGGCTGGGTCCAGGAGAGACCCTTGTGGAGCTTCCTCACTTAATTCTCCCAGCGACGACGCATGACAACGCACGTGAAGTATTGCCAACCAGGGACGATCTCCCAGCCTTGGCGTCAAAGTGTTTATAGGAGCTCAGTCATGAGATGTGGCTGGTGGCCCACTGGCGGCCCGTTAAGTCACAGTGTTAGCAGAGATGATTTAGGTGGCTCTGGCCCCACAGGGAAACAACACACTCTTACCAGGCAGGACGTTGAAAGGGCTTGGAGCTTCCCCCTTCCCCCCGGCAGCCAGGGGCAAAGGGCCAAACCTTTCTTTGGACAAGATTAACCCTTGTCCTGCATCAGTAACCCTTGGCATCGCCCATGGTGTCTGCCGCCTTCCCTGTGCTGATCAGAAAGATGTAAGGTGAGCCGTGGCAGCTGGGAGGATGGAGTCAACCATTCTGCCTGAAGCTAAGGCACTTTCCCCTTTCCCTCCCCTCCTGAGGGCCACGGGAGCCACAGAAGGGTTTTGAGCTGGGCAGTGGCCTGGTACCACCCTGGTGGGCGGTGAGAGCTTCCCCCCACACACGGGGTGTGGGGGAAGACCAGTCAGAGGGTACAGGAAGCCAGGCAGTGGCTGGGCAGATGGAGAGGATGGGTCAGTGTGACGGGGTGAAGGGGGGCAGCCACATCATGATTGTAAGTGCCCAGAGGTGGGATGGTGCCAGCTGTGGCTGGCCACCGTATGCCCCAGGTCTGGCACAGGGCCTGGCTCGTAGGAGATGCTTTGTAAACGTCTATGATGTGAATGAATGCATGGGAACTTGGTGGTTGTCTGTAGGGGGAGATGAGAGAGAAGGACAATCACGGTGTCTGCTGTCTCCCCTGTCCTCCCCTCCTGTCTGCCAGGGACCCCCGGCCTGGACTCCATCTCAGACCCCTTCAGTTGGAGCTGGATCCCTGGCCTGGGTAGAGATCCAGATGCCTGGCTCCCGGGGGAGCTGGCTACCAAGCCCTCTGCGAGGCGGACCCCCGGTGTTCCTGAGAAAACCACCACCAAGGCCCCAGGGAAGATACCCAAAAGCACAAAGAAGTGGGTGACCAAAAACACAAAGAGACCGACCACTCAGCCCGCCGTGATACCAACCCCTAAGCACTCCAGGGCCACGGGCACCCAGAGTGCCCCAGAACTGACCTCACTGACCACCACGACTCCGACCACTGAGGCCTCTCGAAGACCGACCTCCGAGTTTACCACCAGGCTGACCACGGAGGACCCTCACAGGCTGACCTCACACACCACCGAAAGGCGGACTCCCCGGGTCCCCCGGGAACGGACCTCTAAGACCCTGGCAACACCGACCACCCAGGGCCCCCGAGAACTGACCTCTGAGGCCACCATGGAGCCATCGGCCAAGATCCCAGGAGTAGGTACTCCAGAGTCCTCCAAAGACCCAGCCCCCTCCCCCACTGGGGCATCAGGTGAGAGGAAGGAACGTGGAGGGTGAGGCTGACCCCTCCTAACCCCTGCTGACCCCTCCTGATCTGGGCTGTCTACCAGCAGGCCTGTTCCGGGTTCGTCTGGCTGATGGGCCCAACCGGTGTGCCGGGCGGCTGGAGGTGTGGCACGCTGGACGCTGGGGGACAGTGTGTGATGACAGCTGGGACCTGCGGGATGGCATGGTGGCCTGCTGGGAGCTGGGCTGCGGAAGGGTTCGGCCCCGAGTGGGCAAAACCCACTACGGCCCTGGCACCGGGCCCATCTGGCTGGATGACGTGGGCTGCAAGGGAAGTGAGGCCTCGCTGAGCAACTGCCCCACTAGGGCGTGGGGACAGCACAACTGTGACCACGAGGAGGACGTGGGGCTCACCTGCACCGGTATGGCGGGGGGCGGGGGGGTCAGGGGCCAAGGGGTCAGGGGGGCGGGGGGGGGGGGGACCCAGAGTCACTCCAGGAGATTCGGGAAGGGGACTTCGGAGCAACAGCAAGGACCTCTGAGACGGGTCGGGGCTGTCCCCTTCCCCACTTTCCCCCAAGGCTATGCAGATGAGGCAGACTATCCCCCCTGGACCTGGGACCCCACCTCAGGAGAGGACCTGGCCAAGGGGACCACCGCTGCAGCGGTGCCTGCACACACTCTCCCCTGGGGCACGGCTGGGAGCACAGGGGCCCCCTCCCCAACGACGAGGCGCCTTCCAAGCACAGGTGAGGGGCATGGCTGGGGTGGGGAGGGGCCCTCCATAAACCTCTGTGCACCTCCCTGCCGGGCTTCCAGAAAGATCCTCCTAAATGAGCTGGCCTGGGTCTCAGAGACCCCAGACAGGTTTTCCTCGGCCCCAGAGACTCTAAGAACATTCCCTTCTTGGACTCAGCAGTAGCACTGTCCTCCAGAGCCTAAAGGAGACCCCATCCCCACCCCCTGCGGTGTGATTCGCGGAGAATCCGACCAGGCTCGGCAAAGCCCCGGCCCGCAGTCCTCCTGTAAACCAACCGGGGCCTTGGGAGCCCGTGCCCCTCGATCCGGAGCCTCGACGGAAATCCCCCCAGACCTCACAGCCGAGGCCCACCCTGTCACCATGTTGTCTCCCCACCCCAGCCCCTCAAACCTGTTCTCCCAGCTCACGCTCTGGTCAGGGTCGGGCTATGGCTCAGAGGCGGGGTGGGGACATCCAGGTCGAGGGCTCTGTCCTCAGCTGGACCCCCTTCCTCTGGCCAGTGGGAGCAGCCTCCAGCCCCTCAGCTCTGTCCCTCTCTGCCCCTCCGCCTCTGTCTCGCTGTCACCTGCTTCCCTCCTTCCATCTCTGCTGCCAGGGGCCTTGACCTTGACCCTCGGGGCCTTGACCCCCCTCAGATGTTGCCCATTTCTCTACCTTCCTCTGTGTGTGTGTGTGTGTGTGTGTGTGTGTGTGTGTGTGTGAGATCTCTGTCCTATCCGTGCTCAGGGTCCCTCTTGATCACCCTCTGCTCCTGTTTCTCACATTATTTCTCTCTCTCTCTCTTTTTGGCCTCACCTGTGTGGCTCAGGCAATCTTAGTTCCCTGACTAGGGATGAACCCGCGCCCCCTGCAGTGGAAGCGCAGAGTCTTAACCACCAGACCCGCCAGGGAAGTCCCAAAGGAATTTATTTTACTTTTTAATTTTATTTAAAAATTTTTATTTATTTATTTTTCCCTTTCAATTTCTCACCCTCTTCATCTCAAACACTTTTTTTTCCACCGCCCATTTCTTTCTCATCACCTTTCTAATTTTTTTTCTTTCCTTATCAAGTTCATACTCCCGTCATTTCTATTTCTCTCTTTATTTCCCCACAGTCAACTTCTCTTTATCTTTTCCCCTCTGCGTCTGGCTCTTTTTTCTTTCATTTTTCCATTTCTCACTCCCCCACCCCCAACCCATATCTATTTCTCACTGTACTTCATGGCCAGTTTCTCTTCATCTCTTCTCCTGTGTCCTCCTCTTTTTATTTACATTTTCAGTTTCTCACGCTCATCCTCTCCGTTTCTCACTATTTTTCACGGTCGGTTTATCTTTTCAGCTCCGAGTTTCTTTTTTCTTTCTCTTTCTCTGCCCCTCCTCGTCTCTATGCCTCGTCAGCCTCTCTCACCATCTTCCTCATTTTTTCTCCAAGTCCACACCCCGTCACCGCTGTTTCTCCCTGTTTTTCACGGCCAGTTTCTCTTTCTTTCCCTTGAGTCATCCTTTTTCTTTCACTCTCACCATCGCGCCCTCCGCTCCGTTTCCCACTCAACCTCCCCCCCACCCAGGGTCGGTTCTCCCCTCAGCTTTTTCTCCGTCTCCTCATCCTTCTCGCTGACTCTCCATCCTACCATTTCCCGCGTGGCGGCTTCTTCCCCCGGCTCTGCCGACCCCATCCCCCCGCGACGACCGCTCTCTCCCCCCAGGTGTCGCCGCTTCTGCTCCTGTCCGCAGGACCCCGCCCCTCGCACCTTTTCCCGCGTTTTTCACACGCTCAACACGCATGCGCACTCCGAGGGCCTCTGCGAGAGGGGCGGGGCCTCGGTTGGAGGGGCGGGCGGGGCAGATTTCAATCGCCCCGCGCCGTGTGACGTCACAGACGCGGTGCGCCTCCTGATTGGCCAGCTGGCCCACGCCGCGGCAATAAAAGCGGGTGAAGAGGGCGCTGACCTCACAGAGTGGCGTCTGCCTCGGTCTGGTCTCGTTCCGGCGGGGAGGGTACGGGGGCGCGGAGCAAGCATTGGAGGTACGGAGATTTGGGGTGGGGGGCACCCGAGCTGTGAGTTAGGGCTCAGTTTCCAGAGGTGATGCTCCTCATCTGGCAGTGTGGCCAGGATTTCTGAGCTTTGTTCTCTGCAGCCCGGCGCCACCTCCCTTATCCCGTAGCGCCCCCTCGTGGCGGAGAGGTCCGATGCTGGGCGCGAGGCACAAATAAATACAGAACTAGGAATTTGCACGATGGAAATCTCGGGGGTAACGTGTACAACCTTAGTAATGGGAAGACTTGGAGGGAGGTGCGGGGTGGCGTGGGGAGAGGGGAAACGACAGACAGGAATTCCTATCCTCGTTAGCAAGGTGGCCTTGAAAAAAATGACTGCTTCTTTGAACCTCAGTTTCTTCCTCCGGAAAAAACGAAAACCGGAGCTCCAAGGACCCTGGAAAGAGTCAAGGAGAGCTCACTGTGCCAGGCACGCATGATTCCAACTGGGTGACATAGGTCCTGGTGTTGTCCCTGTGTTTCAGGTGGGGGAAAAATGAGGCTCAGAGAAATTAAACTTTAACTTAGGAGCCATTATTGAGATCCATTTTAAACGATTTCGCGCACAGTTTGCTCGTTGGATTGGAAAAGATTCTGGAATAACTGAAGTCATTGCAAGAGTGAATTCTGTAGTGCAGCTCGCTGGGTTCCAGCTGTGGCTGCGCTGGGATTAGAACAACGAGCTGGGTGACCTCAGGTCCCAATCCAATGAGCAAAATGTGTGTGAAATCATTTAAAACCGCAAAACATTGGTTGTTAAAAGTTATTTACCGTAAATGAGCAACAGCTGCAGGATCCCAGGGACGGAGTGATTATTTCTAGTAGAGCAATTGGGAAAGACCTCGCAGAAGAGATGGTGTCATTTTCACCAGCAGACACCAGGAGGAAGGGGATTCTCAGAGGAGCAGAGGCTGGAGTTGAGAAAATTGCATTGCCTGTTTAGGGCACGTCGTCTCTGCTAGACTTTTAGCTGTCTTGTATTTGGCTATGTCAGTTTCTGTTGTTGCCATAACACGGCCACACATTAGGGGCTTAGACAACACAAGTTTATTATTTTGCTGGTCTGGAGGTCAGAAGTCCCACATGGGTATCACTGGCTAGAATCAAAGTGTCAGCAGGGCAGGGCTGTGTTCCTTCTGAGGCTTGAGGGGAGGATCGTTCCCATGCCTTTTCTAGCTTCTAGAGGCCCCTCCATTCCTTAGCGCATGGCCCCTTCCTCCATTTTCAAAGCCAGCAATGCTGCATCTATCTCTCTGGTCCTTCTTTTGTCCTTACATCTTTGTCACTACAGCCAGGTTAGATTCTCTCATTTTAAGGATTTGTGTGATTAGATTGGGTCCACTTGGATTAACATAGGATAATCTCTTCATTTCAAGTTCTGGACCCATAATCATATCTGCAAAGTCCCTTTTGCCAGGAAAGGTAACATATTCACAGGTTCTGGGGATTAGGGCTTGGACATCTTTGGGGAGCGTTATTCTGTCTACCACGGGATCTATGTTGTAGAGACTTTTTACATACTTGTTGAATGGATGAACGAATGAATGAACCAGTGAGAGACCGCTGTGTAAGTCTAGAGAGAGTGTACAGGAGATGAAGCTGGAAGCTTATGAAGGTTGAATTCTCACTTTCCATTTCACTGAAGCAAAATTTCTTGAGGCTTCCTGGATGATGGAATTTGGAGACGCAGACATTAATTCATGTCTGAAATGTTTGCTGTGTGGCAGGCATGAGTACTAATCCCTGGGAACATAGCAGTGACGAGCACAGCAAGGGAGGGGGAAGGGAGGGCTACGTGTTGTAATTTAAAATAGGATGAGCAAGAGATGACGTACTAAGAAAGTGCCATTTAAGTGACAGCCTCAAGAAGGAGGGGGGGAAGCCATGCAGATATCTGTTTGGAGAGTGTTCTGTAGAGAGCGGACAGCACATGCAAAGGCCCTGAGATGGGGGTGTGCTTAGCTGGTTCAAGAAACAGCAGTAAGGTCAGTGGGGCGGAAGTGAAGTGGTTGATGGGGATGATGGCAGGAGGTGAGGTCTGTGGTCCATTGTAAAGACATCTGCTGTGATGGGGAGCCTGGAGGGAGCTAAAGGAGCCTTCCAGACAGAGGGAGCAGCATGTGCAAAGGCCCTGTGGTGGGACCTTGGGAGACCGGCAAGAATGCTGGCCTGGCAGGAGTGGAGTGAGCCAGGCAGGGGGAGAGTGATCGGGGATGAGGCCAGTGTCTGGGTTTTATTCTATGTGCAGAAACCCTTGGCATTTTAAGCACTTGAAGTTATGGAGGATGTGATCACATGTGTATTTTCTTTCTTTTTTTGGGGGGTGGGGGGGCGCGCCTTGTGGCATGTGGGATCTTTGTTCTCTGACCAGGGATCACACCCATGCCCCCTGCAGTGGAAGAGCAAAGTCCTAACCACTGGACCGCCAGGGAAGTCCCCCACATGTGTATTTTCAAAGCAGTCGCTCAGGATGCCGTAGGGGGGTGGATGTAGGTGTAAGAGTGGGGGATGCCTCAACCAGGGTGGCAGTGGAGACTGAGAGAGGTGCAGGTGTTCAAGCTACATCCCGGGGGTTGAGCTGGTAGGTTCGGGTGATGCGTTGGGTGCGAGGGTTGAGGAGAGAGAGTGAGGTAGGGGATGGGGGCCCGCCTTTTACTGGACTAGGGAACGCTGCGGGGTGGGTGCACAGGATCCAGAGTGGGGATATTAAGAGCTCCATTAGTGATGTTCGACACACCCAAGTGGAGATATGAGATCTGCAATCCTGGAGCTCCAAGGAGTGCCTGGGAGGAGGGAATTTGCAGCTGCGGGAATGGATGAGGCTATGCAGATGGACAGCCATGTCTAATGGAGTTTCCACACCCAGTGGGGAGGTGGGATGACTCATGGACTCGGGATATCGCTGTATGTCATGGCTGCGCAGAGGGGAGGGCATCCAAGATTAAATGCCAGATTACAGGCTTCCCTGGTGGCGTAGTGGTTGAGAGTTCGCCTGCCGATGCAGGGGACACGGGTTCGTGCCCTGGTCTGGGAAGATCCCACATGCCGCGGAGCGGCTGGGCCCCTGAGCCATGGCTGCTGAGCCTGCGCATCCGGAGCCTGTGCTCCGCAACGGGAGAGGCCACAACAGTGAGAGGCCCGCGTACCGCAAAAAAAAAAAAAAAATTAAAATGCCAGATTACATTTAGAGGTTGCGTGGTAATAAGAGCATCAATAATAGCTAATATTCATTGAATAATCTCCGTGTGCCAGGCACCATCTAAGTGCATCCCATGTTTGTTTGGGTTTTTTTGGCCGCATCATGTGGCCTGTGGGATCTTAGTTCCCCGACCAGGGATCGGACCCAGGCCCCCTGCAGTGAAAGTGCAGAGTCCTAACCACTAGACCACCAGGGAAGTCCCCAAAGTGCATACCATGGTTTAACTCACCTCCTCCACGTGGAACATTATGAGATGAGTACTATCCTTGTCCCCATTTTATAGGTAGGGAAATTGAGGTCCAGAGAGGTCAGGACAGCGAAGGGCAGAGCTTGGATTCAAACTGCAGAATTCACACTCATAACCACTCCAGCCACGGAGACTGGGAAGAAGCCTGTGATAGAATTAGCTCTGAAGAACCCAGGAAGCATAGAGCAGGGTGTAACTTCCTCAAGGGGAAGCAGGGAGTGACCTTGGAATCAAATTCTAAATAAAAGCTCAACAGGGAAGGAGTGAGGTGAGACCCAGGAGATCTACCCCCAGAGGGAAGAGGTTGCCGCTCAGAAGCAGATAGACCTGCTGGGTCTGAAACCCAGTGCTGCTCCTTAGCTGTGTGACCTTAGGAAAATTCCTTGCCCTCTCTGGGCTTCAGTTTGGTCATCTGTAGGGAAACTGCAGCTTCTTTGCCCACCAGCTCCCCATGAGATTGCCAAAAATTTAAAATGTCTCTCAGCGGCAAGGATGAGGGATAAAGGTGGGCAGTTTGACAACATCTAGAGAGATGCCTTCCGCACGGCAGTCCCACAATTAGGTGTTGAGCAATTCCCACTCATGAAGAATCCACTGCAGCAAAACATTGGCCACAACCGAACCGCCCGTCCACAGGGGCATAAATAAATCGGCAGTTGTGTGTTCATACGATAGAATATTACACAAGGTTAAAAAAAAGAAGGAAGTAGAGTTATATGCATTTAACTGAAAGGACAGCTTATCACTTGCCAGCCCTGTGACCCCATGGAGTAGGTGCCATCACGATACCCATCGTACAGGTGAGGAAACAGAGTCGTGGAGAAGTGAAGTGACTTGCTCAGCCAGCTAGGAAGGAACGCAGCCAAAAAGCAGGCTGTGAGAAGGTGTTTGCTGTGTATATGTATATGTGCAGTCTTTCTAGTTGTAGGAAGCTAACACATGTGGAAACAATATAGCATTAGGGAGTCCCACCTGTATAGCTAAGGTGTAAAGGCATGCTTGGGAACTATTAACTAAAGGCTTCTCTGACAAAGGGAAGGGATGTGATTGGGCCTCGCAAGGGCTGTAACTCTACAATGCTGCTTCCTTTTTTTCGATGTATATTTTAATTAAAAAATCGCATCGATCACACACTAATGGATCACGAATGAGAATGTGGCCATATCTTAGAGCACATTTTGAGTACACACGGACCCAGGGAGTATGCCTGCACTTGGTGGGCTGACATTTTAACAGGAAGATAGCTTCAATTTGTGTTCTTGATGGAGTCCTCCTAAAACCCAGCATCTTGGAAAGAAATCTTCACAACACTGTTATTACTCAGTTCTCCCCATATCTCTCAAGGTGGCGAGGATGGTTATGAGCCTTCCTGGACATGGGATACACCTTCAGGAGAGGTCCCAGCCAAGGGGACCCCCACCGCAGGCATACCTGGACCCTCTGGCACCGCTGGCACCATCAGGAGCCCAGGCCATCCCTCTCTAGCTCCAAGGGTCCGTGGGGATACAGGTAAGGCATGTGGCTGGGGCGAGGGGGCCAGGGTGTTTGTGTGGTGGGATGGAGAGGTGGACTTGTGTGGTGGGATGGAGAGGTGGACTCCAGATTTCCCCATGGTGACCCAACTCTCACCCTAGAAAGACCAGGCAGAAATATATCCTGAGACAAGGGGTTATTATCTATACCAGTGGTCTTCAACTGGGGGCAACTGGCAACATCTGAAGACATTTTGGGTTGTCATGACTGGGAGCAGGGAGGCTACTGGTACCTGGTGGGTAGAGGCCAGGGATGTTGTTACACATCCTCTGGTGCACAAGGTATCCCCCACAGCAAAGAATCATCCAGCCCCGGATGTCAACAGTGCCAAGGGTGAGAAACCCTAACCTATACCATGTAAGTCACTCTGACAAATAAGAAAATGATAGGAAATCCTATAAGAGAATGGGCAAAAGATACAAACAGGTGATTTGCACAAGGCGAAGCCCAAATGCCCAACGAGTATATCTGGAAGTGCTCACATTCATCATGAATCAGAAAATTCAAATTAAAACAATGACGAGCATGGAAAAAAATTTGAAAGGTAGATAATACCAAGTGTAGGTGAGGGTGTGGGGAGACAGGCATCCCCACTGGCTGTAGCAATTCGATAAACACAACCTAGTGGTGTTTAGTGAAATTAAATATGATTCTACGTTATCACCCAGCAATCCTGCTCCTAGATCTATATTCCAGAGAAATTCTTGCACAGGCTTATAAGGGAATATGTGTGAGGATGTATTAGGGAATTGGAGGCAAGTGAAGTGTCCAACAGCAGGGTAACAAGGAAGAGAGATGCAATGGTTACACGTGATGGAATTTTATGCAATAGCTAAAGCAATGACGAGCTATATACACAGCAACATGGATAGGTATGAAAAACGTAATACTGAGGGGAAGGTCAGACAGAATGAGATTTCCAGCAGAATACTATTTGCAGAAATTAAAAGCACAAACACAAAAATACACATACACTTATATATTAACATAAACACATCTATGCATTCCGTATTGTTTAAGATCACACATATGTTTAAGGCCATATGTGAAACACACTAGAGTGGAGGTACCTATGGGAGAGGATGAGGGGATGGAGATTGGGGTTAAAGAGCAGAAAAAGTAAAATAAAACAAGAGAAGACATCGCAGGGACTATTAATGACAACGTACAGTGGGGTATGAGTAGCTTAGCTCTCTGCACCTTGGGTCTGAAAAATTAAAAATCAGTACCACTCTAGGTTACTGAGTCCCTGTTCTATCAAACTAAGCTGAGATTCTTGAAATAATAACTAGGCACAGTTAACATTTATCAAGCAATATACCATGTGTCAGGCACTATTTTATGCACTTTATATGTATTATGCTTTAACATATTTATATGTGTTAATCCTCGTAGCAGCCACATGAGCCCTACATGAATGATGTAAGTGCTATAATTGTTCCCATTTCACTGATAAGAGAAATTGAGGCACAGACATCAATGACTATGGCAGTATAAATAATCATGAGAATGCTTATCATGTGCTAGGCATTGTGTAAGTGCTCTGCACACACATGACCTCTGAATCCTCATGATTACTCTACAAGGGAGGTATGTGGATATCTATGGTTTACAAATAGGGAAGAAACTGAGATTCAAGGCAGGTAAGTAACTTGCCCATGATTACCCAGCTAGGAAGTAATGGAGCTGGGGTTTAAATCCAGGCAGCCTGGCTGGAGGCCAAGCCCTTTACTTAACTACTCCTCTGACCCTGCAGGGGGACACGACGCACCTCAAAGACCCTGCAGAAAAGTGGAATTCTGTTGAGCTGTGCTGTTCAATATGGTAGCTACTGACACAGGTGGCTATTTAAATTTAAGTGAATCAAAAATTTGAAAAAGGAAGGACCTACTGTATAGTGCATGGAATATACTCAATATTTTATAATAATCTATAAGGGAAAAGAGTCTGAAACAGAATATGTATATATGTGTGTGTGTATGTATATATATCTGAATCACTCAGCTGTACACCTGAAACTAACACAACATTGTAGATCAACTATACTTCAATTTAAAAAATTTAAAAAAAGAAATCCATTCAAAGGTAGAAAAAAGAAAGTTGAAAAAGGAAACATTCATTCCTTAGTTGAACTAGCTACATTTCGACTGCTCAGAAGCCACAGGTGACCAGTGGCTACCATATTGGACAGCACAGAACATTTCCATGACTGAGAAAGTGATACTTAATGGCCTAGACTCTGTATGTAAAGGACTTGGGTTCAGATCTTGTCCCTGCAACTTTCAAACTGTGTGTGACCTCGGGCAAGTTACTTACCCTCTTGGCCTTATTTCTCTCATCTCTAAAAAGAGCTTAAAATTCACATTTACCTGGAAGCAGGGCCTGGAAGAGGGTAAGCCTTCCCATTTTACTCGGGCCTAAAATTTGGGGGCATTCCAAACACTTAGTAATGAAGATAAATAAGATCTTAATACCATAGGTTAAAAAACAAATGAATGCAAAAACAATCCACGATGAACTAAATAAAATTTTAACTAAAGTCAGGATCTGACCTACCTCACCAGGATCTGACAGAGCCAATTTTAGGGGGGATTCCAGTGAGGTAGGTCGGATCCTGTCTTGGATTAAAATTTTGACTTTTTGTTCATTGTAGATCTTTTGTATTAATTTTGATTGTTTAAAAATATGGCGTAAAGAGATTTGTCTTGATTACTGAGATTACCCTTCAGATTCCCCCTCATGCTATGCACCGTCTCCCACTCCCCTCCCCCTCTTTATCTCCCTTCATCCCATCTCTGCCTTTCGGACCCCTCTTGCATCCCAGGTACCGCTCCACATCCCACCTCCCCCCTGCCGCCCATCTCCGCATCTCCCAGACGGGAGGACGCCAGGTGGCGCCTGGAGACATGGAGGAAGCGTGTCGGTGGGGCACTAGGGCGGATGAAGTCTGCCAGCGACCCATGACGTCACAAAGCTTTCTGCCTTCCCATTGTTCAGCCCACCCCTAGGAGGCGGACCATGCCGCGGGGTGGGCGGAGCAGACTGACCTCCGCCGGCCGTCTCTCCTCCAACAGGTTCACTGAGGAAACCGTGGCCCGAGCGACGGCTGCGGCCCACAGCGGCCAGGACTGCGCCCCCCACCACTTCCCCAGCTCCCTCCGCCTCGCCGGGGCCCCCGGGCCCTGTCCTGACCTCTGACTCCGCGCCGCAGCTCATCCCCACAGCAGCTTCAACGCCGGAGGTGACCTCTGACCCTCCCGCCACTTTGCCGCCCAGCCCAGACCCGGCCTCCTGGATGAACTCTCACCGCACCTTGACAACCCCTGGCCTTACCTTGTCCGCCCCTGATGCCACCGTGTTTCCAGCGCTGACCCCTGGGTTTTCACCCACTCCACCACCCACCATGCCCAAAGAACTGACCTCTGACCCCTCTGCACCGGCGGAGACCCGCCTTTCCCCTACCTCAGAGCTGACCCCAGAGTCTGACACAACCCCAGTCTGGGACACATCTCCATACCCCAACACAACTCCAGAACCTTCTAGTTTCCCAGACCCTTCCACAAGTCCTCACCCCACTACCATCCCTCACTCCACCATGACCTCTCACCCTACCACGACCTCTCACCCCACTGCCACCCCTTACCCCACCCCCACCCCTCACTCTACCACAACCCCTCACCCCACCACAGCCCCTCCTCCCATCACCAGTGCTCAACCTATCACAACCGCTTACTCAACCACAACCCCTCAACCCACCACGACCCCTCAACCCACCACGACCCCTTATCCCACCACGACCTCTCACCCCACCACAGCCCCTTATCCCACCATGACCTCTCACGCCACCGCCACCCCTTACCCCACCCCCACCCCTCACTCTACCTCAACCCCTCACCCCACCACAGCCCCTCCTCCCATCACCAGTGCTCAGCCTATCACAACCCCTTACCCAACCACAACCCCTCACCCCACCACGACCCCGCAACCCACCACAACCCCTCCTCCCATCACCAGTGCTCAACCCATCACAACCCCTTACCCTGCCACGACCCCTCACCTCACCACCACTGCTTACCCCACCATGACTCCTCACCCCACCTCAACCCCTATGGTCACTGCCAAGTCCCTTCTAACTTCCTTGGGAACAGAACTTCCCTTTCCCTCTTTAGCACCAACAGTCAAGCCCAGCCCACACCCCCGGTTGACCTTCACGGGAGCCCCTCACCCCTCCACGTCCCAGATGTGGAGCCTAGAGCCCTGTCCAGCAACAGAGTCCAGCCCCTGCAGGCCCTCTCCAGCCCCCGGCATAGACACACTGTCCACTGAGAACTTCAAACCACCCACAAGCCAGAGTCCCAAAGTAACCTCTCCACCTACCCAGACTCCACACTCAGCCTCTGACCCCACTGTGACCCCTGACCTCCACCTGTCCCCTATGGCCCCCCCCTTGGATCAACCTCCCCCTGACCGCCTCACCCTAGGGCCAACTCCTGGTCAGAGCCCAGGCCCCCTTGGCCCATGTGAAGCCCCAGTGCCACCTGTAAGGGTCATGGCTTGTGATCCGCCTGCCCTGGTAGAGCTGGTGGCCGCTGTGAGGGATGTGGGTAGCCAGCTACAGAGGCTGACACAGGCTCTGGAGCGGGACCAGCAGGAGCGCCACGCCCTGGGACTGGGGTTGACCCAGCTGGTGGAGGCTGCCCAGGGTCTGGGGCAGCTGGGTGAGGTTGTAAAGAGACTGGCAGAGGTGGCCTGGCCCCCCAGCACACCTGCACCAACCACTACTACCCCAGAGGAGGAAGAGAGGCCTCTGCGGGGAGATGTGTGACCTCATCTGGGGTCTGAGGGACTTAAGACACTCCCAAACCCAAATAGGAAAACCAAAGTATCTAATTAAAAACAAAATGTGAATGATGTTTCTGGGGTACTAGAGGAGGTGTGAATACAACAGGCACCATGTGAGGTGGTGAGGCTGGTGAGGACGACGGTGATAGTGGTGATGAGTATGATGGTGGTGATGATGGTGAAGGCAAGAATGGTGATAGTGATGGTGAGGGTGGTTATGATGATACTGGTGGTGGTGATGAAGGTGACCATGATGGTGGTGATGCCTATCCTGATGGTAATGTGACAGTAATGGTGAAAGTGATGATAATGATGGTGATGGTGGTGATACAGAGTCTGACACAACCCCAGTCTGGGACACATCTCCATACCCCAACACAACTCCAGAACCTTCTAGTTTCCCAGACCCTTCCACAAGTCCTCACCCCACTACCATCCCTCACTCCACCATGACCTCTCACCCTACCACGACCTCTCACCCCACTGCCACCCCTTACCCCACCCCCACCCCTCACTCTACCACAACCCCTCACCCCACCACAGCCCCTCCTCCCATCACCAGTGCTCAACCTATCACAACCGCTTACTCAACCACAACCCCTCAACCCACCACGACCCCTCAACCCACCACGACCCCTTATCCCACCACGACCTCTCACCCCACCACAGCCCCTTATCCCACCATGACCTCTCACGCCACCGCCACCCCTTACCCCACCCCCACCCCTCACTCTACCTCAACCCCTCACCCCACCACAGCCCCTCCTCCCATCACCAGTGCTCAGCCTATCACAACCCCTTACCCAACCACAACCCCTCACCCCACCACGACCCCGCAACCCACCACAACCCCTCCTCCCATCACCAGTGCTCAACCCATCACAACCCCTTACCCTGCCACGACCCCTCACCTCACCACCACTGCTTACCCCACCATGACTCCTCACCCCACCTCAACCCCTATGGTCACTGCCAAGTCCCTTCTAACTTCCTTGGGAACAGAACTTCCCTTTCCCTCTTTAGCACCAACAGTCAAGCCCAGCCCACACCCCCGGTTGACCTTCACGGGAGCCCCTCACCCCTCCACGTCCCAGATGTGGAGCCTAGAGCCCTGTCCAGCAACAGAGTCCAGCCCCTGCAGGCCCTCTCCAGCCCCCGGCATAGACACACTGTCCACTGAGAACTTCAAACCACCCACAAGCCAGAGTCCCAAAGTAACCTCTCCACCTACCCAGACTCCACACTCAGCCTCTGACCCCACTGTGACCCCTGACCTCCACCTGTCCCCTATGGCCCCCCCCTTGGATCAACCTCCCCCTGACCGCCTCACCCTAGGGCCAACTCCTGGTCAGAGCCCAGGCCCCCTTGGCCCATGTGAAGCCCCAGTGCCACCTGTAAGGGTCATGGCTTGTGATCCGCCTGCCCTGGTAGAGCTGGTGGCCGCTGTGAGGGATGTGGGTAGCCAGCTACAGAGGCTGACACAGGCTCTGGAGCGGGACCAGCAGGAGCGCCACGCCCTGGGACTGGGGTTGACCCAGCTGGTGGAGGCTGCCCAGGGTCTGGGGCAGCTGGGTGAGGTTGTAAAGAGACTGGCAGAGGTGGCCTGGCCCCCCAGCACACCTGCACCAACCACTACTACCCCAGAGGAGGAAGAGAGGCCTCTGCGGGGAGATGTGTGACCTCATCTGGGGTCTGAGGGACTTAAGACACTCCCAAACCCAAATAGGAAAACCAAAGTATCTAATTAAAAACAAAATGTGAATGATGTTTCTGGGGTACTAGAGGAGGTGTGAATACAACAGGCACCATGTGAGGTGGTGAGGCTGGTGAGGACGACGGTGATAGTGGTGATGAGTATGATGGTGGTGATGATGGTGAAGGCAAGAATGGTGATAGTGATGGTGAGGGTGGTTATGATGATACTGGTGGTGGTGATGAAGGTGACCATGATGGTGGTGATGCCTATCCTGATGGTAATGTGACAGTAATGGTGAAAGTGATGATAATGATGGTGATGGTGGTGATAATGGAGGTGAGGATGGAGATGACGGTGGAGATGGTGGTGATGATGGTCATGAAGATCATGGTAATGACTATTGTAATGATGGTGATGATGGAGGTGAGGATGGAGATGACGGTGGAGATGGTGGTGATGATGGTCATGAAGATCATGGTAATGACTATTGTAATGATGGTGATGATGGAGATGAAGATGATCAGGGTGATGATGGCAGTGATAACGGCCATGATGAAGCCCCATGAGGGCAGAAATCTTTGTCTTGTTCACAGATGTATGCCCAGCTCCTAGAACAGAACCTGACACCGAGTGCACCCTCCATTAATATTTTTTGAATGACGAGTGCGTGATAATAATAACTAGTGTTCACTGGGCACCTCCTATGGGTCAGGCTCTGTTCTGAGGGCTTTGCGTGCATGATGTCATTTTACCTTCATGAACACCCACTGAGGAGGGTACTTTACCACAGCTCAGCAGGGGGAGGGTGAACTTTGGAGCCTAAATGCCTGAGTTTGAGCCTTTGAGGGCATGACCCTGAGCCAGTTACTTAACTTCTTGGTCTGAGTTTCCCCATCTCTAAAAGGGAAAATAATAATAGTACGCACCTCGGGGGCTGCTGTGATGATTAACTGACAGATTAATACCTATGTGAGAGTGCTTAGCACAAGGCCTGGCTCTTGATAAGTGCTCAATATGTGATAGGTATTATTGTATTTATCCCCATTTTACAGATCAGGGCACTGAGGCGCAGAGACATTTGGTTGGGTACCCCAGGTCACTCAGGGAGCGCGTAGTAGAGTCATGATTGGTACCCAGGCCTGTCTGACCCAGGGCCCTTGCTCAGAAGGTATTACGTGCCCAAATCAGATTATCCTCGATTCAAGGCTGCCTCTTGGCTCTGGGACTCTAGCAGTTAATTTCCTTTCTCCAGCCTCAGTTTTTCCACCTGTACAGTGGGGATAGTGGTCGTTCCTGCCTCCTGGGGTGGTTGTGAGGATTAGATGAGCTAGTGCAGGTGAGGACACAGCTTAGCACACGTGCTCAGTTAACAAGAGTGACCATAACGGCTCCTAACCGTGCTTCTCTGTGCCGGACACAATGTGGACTCTTAATACACTACATCCCACCCTCACTATAGCCCTTGGAGGGAGGAACTTGACCCCTGTTTCAGAAAGGGCATTGAGGCTCAGAGAGGGCAAGCCCCTTGCCTCAGTCCACAGAGAAGAGCTTCGGGGACTCAGAATAACAATGCAAATTCCTCGGCGTCAGACTTGGCCTGGGGTTCCAGGTTAGGCTTCCACGATGGGCCCCCGCTGAATATCCTTAGGTGGGCCTCCTCCTCTCTCAGCCTCAGCTTGTAAACTGGGGGCTGTCTTGGAAGACCCCCCAAGTTGTATTCTGGCTGCTGCAGCTTCAGGCAGGGAACCATTCCCTCCTCCCCACCTCTCCCCAGACTGGAGCCTGGCTCAGAGGTCCTGGAAGGTCATGGAGCTGCTGCCCCCGCAGTCCTGCAAAGGCCAGCAGGGTCCAGTTACTTGCTGGGGGCGGGGAAGGATATTGTCTGAGGGTCTTGATAGATGAACTGTCTGCACCTGCCAACAGATGAAGACGCACACTGAGAGTCCTTTTCCCCGGGTCTCATTAAGCCCTAAGACTTAAATAACTGCTGACTAGTAACCTGGGGAGGGCCTCTGCATACATTCCCCTTGCTGTCCCGGCTAGTCGGGACTCCAAGTATGGCACCCCAACTCGGAAGCAAGAGGTTCCCTTTTTCGTTCCCAGGTGGGAGCAGGTGCACCCCTACTCCAGGTCACCCCAGAGGGCCCCACTGGGGATTCAGGCTCCTGGCGCCCCTCTGCAAGCCAGGGTTGGGGGAGCTACTGGGCATTCGTGGCCGAGGTCCCTCCACCCTCTGCCACCTCCTGCCAGCCCTAAAGAAGCGGGTGCTTAATTATCCGGTCACTCTATCCCTGCTTGGCCAGGCAGCTAAGCCCAAACATCTGGCCTCGGGGCCCATGGCCAGGATAGGAGGCCAGCCCCCACCTACTGCTGGCCCTGACCCTGGACACCTCCCACAGGACATCTGAACCTGATCCTCTGCCTGCCAGCTTGCAACAAGCCCAAAACAGTAGCTTCAGAGGCCTAGCAATCTTGATGCAGAGAAAACATTTGACAAAATTAACACCCATTCATGGTTTACAAACAGGCACACACACGCACTCTTCGCAAAGTAGGAGCAGAGGGAACATCCTTAATCAGACAAAGGGTGGAAAGGGAGGCACAGATCTGTCATTTCCCACAGGCGATACGACTGACCACATAGAAAACCGCAAAGAATCAAGCGGACAAGTGTTTAGCATTAATGAGAGTTTAGCTGGGATGTGGGATCAATACTCTAAAATCCTGTTCTCACAATTCCTTGCACCTCAAAGTGCGACCCATGGACCAGAAGTGTCGGCCACCCCTGGGAGCTGGTTAGAAAAGCAGAATTTCGGGTGCCACCCAGACCCACCGGATCAGAGTCTGCGTTTTAACAAGGTCAGGGGTTAGGGGTGCAGGGTGGGGTGGTGGTGATGCGTGGGTCTGTACTTGAGCTGAACTAATGCAAAGAACAGTGTCTCTGAGGCCCTACAAGGCTGGCGCCCTTCTGGGTCCCAGGTAAACACTTTCCTGCAGGGAGGGTGTGGGTTGGTTGCAGCCCCACAGCTTTAACGTTCTGTGGCCATTAGTCGATCTGATGCGCATTGTGATTTTTTCGATTTTTGGGGTTTTTTAGGCCACACTGTGTGGGGACCTAGTACCCTAACCAGGGATCAAACCCGGGCCCCCTGCATTGGAAGCACTGGACCACCAGGGAAGTCCTGTGCATCATGATTTTTGATTTTGTGTTTGCAATGGATGATTCTGTGTTTTGAGGTCAATGAGACAAGGAAGAATTCTCTGGGCGCTGGGAGCGGGGACTCATGCAAAGCCCCACATCCCCTATAGGTTCTGGTGGCCAGACCCCTGGCTATCCAGCTTCAGGCAGGCTCCACGACACCCTACCCCTTGAGGGTCTGCCAGTGATTATCCTGGTGCCCAGGGAACATGACATTCAGTAGCAAAGGGGGGGGGGTCAGGGAGGGAAAAAGGTCTTTTTTTTTTTTTTTTTTTGCCGTACGCGGGCCTCTCCCGTTGCGGAGCACAGGCTCCGGACGCGCAGGCTCAGCGGCCATGGCTCACGGGCCCAGCCGCTCCGCGGCATGTGGGATCTTCCCGGACCAGGGCATGAACCCGTGTCCCCTGCATCGGCAGGCGGACTCTCAACCACTGCGCCACCAGGGAAGCCCAAAAGCTTTTATTTAAAAACAAGAAACCCTACGTTTTCTCTTTTAAAATATTTATCTACTTATTTATTTATTTGGCTGCGCCGGGTCTTAGTCACAGCACACGGGATCTTCATTGCAGCATGTGGACTCTTGGTTGCGGCATGCGGGATCTAGTTCCCTGACCAGGGATCCAACCCGGGCCCCCTGCATTGAGAGCACGGAGTCTTAGCCACTGGACCACCAGGGAAGTCCCACGTTTTCATTTTGTACTGGACACCCACAAATTTTGTAACTGGTCCTGCTTGTATACTTGGGGTTCCCCAGCTAGGGTGTAGCCAGAGCTTCCTTGGTGATCACGGGCCCAGGTACACTTTGTGGGGTCGGGGGTGAGTGGGGAGTCAAGACCAAAGGCTTTGGAATCAGATTCAGCCACCTTTTGACTTTAGGGTCTTTGGAAAGTAGGGGCCTCGACAGTCTCGTCTGTAAAATGGAGAGAGACGTGAACGGGTCCTGTGTGATGAGTGGGTCCTGAATTCAGCACTGTTAGAAAAAGGGCAGGATGTTTCCTTTTTCATTTGCTTTTTAATGTGAACTCAGAGGCTCAGAGAAGGAAAGGAAACAAATCAAGGTCACAGCATGAGAACCTTGGAAATGCCTGTTTGGGTTTTTTTCTTTTAAGCAGCTTCAT